ACAAGTTTTTTATCTTTTTTTCTTAAAAAAAAAAGAAGAACCAACTACACTGATATCATTTTAGACTTAATATACGCTAAGATACTGAAGATGAACTATTTTATATAACACTAACAACAAAATTGATTTCTATACAAAAAACTTTACAACATGAAAATAGAAGAAAAAAAAATACCAATGTTGATTAATGAATAAAACTAATGGTTGGTTTGTGAAGAAAAAAAAATATATATATATATATACATATATAAAAGAAATAGAAAATAAAAAAGGGCCAAGAGAAAGTTATTACAACATATATATATATATATATATATATATATATATAGGATAAAAACTTGTGACATATTTTATATACTAGGGATAAACATTTTGAAAATTTCATTTCCTTTACAGTATAATAGCAGTAGCAATTGTGAATTATTTACTTTCTGTATTGATTTAAACTTTCAAAAGGCCTCTCCTATCTGACTCATTGATATAATAAACTGTCAGCTTCAGACTAAGATATTGATTTTTTAATAATAATAAGAAGAAGAAGAAGAAGAATGTTAATCTCCTAACTTCTAGTTGGAATTACATCGATGGCACTGATGACCCCTACACTATTCTAGTAGATACACAATAAATGATGTTCATGAGCAAAAAGGTGAAATCTATCATCATTGGACAATGAACACAAGTGGAAATAAGGCAAACTGTAGGTACGTACATAAATAAATCATTTTTTTAGAAAAAAAACGTAATAAATCTACTTAGAGGAAAAAGAATGATAAAATTGAGTTGTTACATTTTTATATAGAAGATTGTTTTAATGAAATATTCAGAAAATTTATGATAGATTCCGTTTGTTTTTTTCTTTTCTAGTTGTTTTCATGATTATGACATTTGTTTTTTTAAAAAAAATATAATTCAAGGTTATAAGTACTATCTGTTTGTTATTCATTCTAGTTTACATGCATTAATTTTTTCTCCTTTCACTACTGACTATGAAATGTCACCTTAAAAGTGCTTGATATTACTGGCTACTTTGATGGTGAAGAATAAAATAGACGAATACTTTGACAGAAAAAAATTCCCTTGTCTTGGAAGTTCTCAATCGGTTGATAGCTGAGTAAATATAGGCAAAGGTGAAAAAAGCTTGTACAATACTGACCATCTTATACTATCTAGGAAACAGACAAGGTATTCATCTGACAACATTCTACTCAAAGAATTTGAAACATGCTGTCTGAAAGTAGAAGATATGAGAGTAGGCTTTAAATATTTAATCATATTTTTTCCTCAACTATTGACTAAGTAGTGGAACCATGATGTCTAAATTAGGGACTGGGTACTATGTAAGAGGAGACGTCGTCTACCGGAGCGTTTAAGATGAGCATTATACATACCGCTAGCCAATTTTTAATTCTATACGAAGTGATAATTGAATTTAAAGTATGTTGAAAGAGTTTTAAGGTTAACTTAACGAAAATACAGCCTTAAATCATGAAGTTGTCAACTTTTAACCCCAGGTTTCTAATTTAGGACTAAGTGTACGGTTTAAATTTACATGTTATGACGTTTACTAATGAAAAAATAAATGGTATTGTTGTCTTTGGAGTCATTGGGTGGAATCACTTTTTCAGAGATATTAGTTTTGTACAGAAAATCTCATTGCACATCAAAGACAACATAGTTCATAAACACTGAATATTGATATTTGTTGGTAGAACTTTACGGGATTTCAATATATGATCTCCAAGTGTTCACAGGAGTTGAACCATATTATTTCAAAAAACCTAATTGATATCGAGTTGCTTAAAATCTACATCAGCAGCAGCAGTAACAGTGCTATATATTTAATAGTCTACATGATGCAAGGAACAAGAATATAACTAAACAAAAAAACAATCCATTAGGTTAAGAGAGAAAAAAACAGTTGCCAATACAGATGGATCATCCAGTAAAGTGTAGCTGTGTGGTGCTGTGGTGTGAGCTACTTATAAGTAGTATATGACGTGAGAGTCAACGTCATGTCTGACGGCAGAAGATGGGGGAAGATCAAGAAAGGAACAGTTAGAAGAACACAATGGAATTTGTATGAAATACAAGAATAGTGACAATGGATTGATATTTTGCAACAGGAACAGTTCAGTTCGATATGATGAAGTGATATTTTGCAAATTAACGATTTACGATATGGTTTTCCTATTTTACTGAGTAACTCTGTAATTTTCGTTAAACACAATTCGGTTGCCCCACCTTTGTTCTCCTTCACTACAGCTGTACTTTGTTACTCTAACAAAAATGTGTCTCATATTGACTGATGATGACCAGTAAAAATAAAAACCAATTTTTCAAACAAATTCTTACATGTTATGCATATAAACTAAGAAGTTATTATATTTTCGAAGTATATATATATATAAATAAATATAGTCACATAAACAATAATGACCAAAAATGATCGAATATGCACATAGACATAAGAAGAAAAAAAAATAATTTTAAACTAGTTCTAAGAAAATCATGTTGGATAGTATGTAAAAGACAGACAAAAAATATTATAGTCTTTAATTTTATTAGTGACTAACATTAGAATAACAGAAAACATGTAAAATGACAATAATAATATAGGACAATATATATATGGATATTGACAGATCATAGGGCAATGGAGAAAATAAATAAACATAGTTTCTTAATAAGTCATCTTTTAGACCATATATATAAATTTGACAGCAAAACAAAATATCATTATACTTTTAAAAATAAAAAATTTTTGATTTTAAACAAAGACTAATATTTTTCTCGGAAAGATATTATTTTATAAAAACCGTAAATTAAGCGATTTAAAAAAAAATGAAAAATGAAGGGGAAAAAATGTCTTGAATTCAGGGAATGGATACAGTAAATTTTGTATGTTTAATCTAAATTTACAGCTAGATGAACTTATCGTTGAAAGGTTGTGGAAATCTTTTATATTCATGAATAATTTCATAATAGTTTAGAAATGTTGGATAAAAGAATTCAAAGACAGTAAATACTCTATCGAAAAACGTCTGTGAATCTAGTTTATGAGTTACTCACTGAACAGTACATTTAGAGTTTGTACTAAAGTCATATTCTATGTAGATTTTCAGAAGTAACTCAATAGTAAATTTTAGTCAGCCTTAAATATTTTTTTAATGTAAGACTTATCGTGAATTTATTTAAAGCAATATAACCTCAAGTTATTGGTATTACTGGAATCAATTCTAGATGCGTAAAATAAGAGAATGCAAAATGCAGTTGTACTATATGAGCATGAAAAATTGAACTTCAAGTATTTAGGTAGACATTTAGGTTACTAGATGCAGTAAAATGTGTATGAAAATCATATATGATCCTCTCTAGATGTAAACCCCGAACTTTTATGATCACACGAACTTTAGAATGTTTGTAGACAAGTGTGCAATACAGTAATACTGTTTAGGAACAGCTTTAGTACACTTAAGTGATTTTATGTTTGAATTAGTATTCGTTTCATTTACATGTATTGTCTTATAATCCGAAAATTTAAATTAAAGTAAACTTATATGATAAAGTTTCTAACGTTGATAAATGAAACCTAGGATTTAATTAACTTGTCATAGACTGGACATGATAATAGCTTACTACAAACACTTGTCAACTCAGTCTGAAACGATAAAACTTAGGATTTCATAAAACTCCGAATCGTTAATAAGCAAATATTTAGCTTGTTGAGGTACAGAAAACCAATCGAACGAAAGCCACAACTTGAACTTTTAGACTCATCGCTATTTATTAGTGAATGATATTCAAGAAAGAGGCATCACAAGAGGAAAACCAAAGCCAAACAAATATGAGTAAGAAACTCACTCTAAAGAGGTGTTTTGAAAGTTTGAACTAGCTGGCAAATAGTTCTTTTCGAGACATAGACCAACACAATATGATTCAGAGTAAACACTGCTATTAACAACATCCGTCCTTCAAAGAACTTATTATTCTATCTTCGGAAAAAATTACCTACTAAGCTACGACAAATTACAGAACTCAAATTGGAATCCGTAACCTATTACCAAGGTTATGAGACATTTTTGAAATACAAACTATCTTCAGATAAAAACATATCACTGAAATACACTTCAAATCAACAGAAATAAGTTTGAGGAAAGCTACAAGGTACAGGTGATAGTTAATATTAAACTCATGGAAGTCCTGTACTACACACACTAATGCTAACCCAGCTGTTACCTTCCGCATTTTATGAAACATCTTAGTGTAAAAGTGATACTATCAAAAAGCGCAAAACTGCAAAAAAAGCATTCGGGTATTACCAGAATTGCTATTAAATACCCACAGGTGAACTTTAAGGTCGTTTGTCTAAACCTAACTTAAAACAACAACTCTTGCCATCCAAGAGACAAAGCGAGAACCCTGCAGGTACGTGAAGTACATTTTATCCTTATTTGTATTGTGACTTTAAACAATTAACATTATTAATTTACTTGATATTTTAAAACTTTCCTTTTAAAATAAATATAAACGATGGTTCAGATTGATGATAAACTTGTGGAAGAGATCCTATTGACAAACATTGTTACTAATATAAAATATTCGATCTGGAGAGTATTTCCAAAATCAGGCAACAAAGACTATCCAAACAGGAAACCATATAAAAATGTACACGAAAACATATGTAGCCTTAGTAATTGTAAATACAAGCTAATGAAGTTAATGAGAACCTTTCATTTTACAAGAATGAGCGTTAAACAAGCCTACAACTGTAGGCTTAAGTAAATCGAAAACCGTTTTGTGAATCTGGCCGGGCAATTCAATTATATGGTGACCCATGGCATGAAATGAAAATATCTAGTAAATGTATGAAATAATTCCTTGCATAAGTTTAGAGTCTATATTCCATAAACAACAGTGTGTTCATGGATATATGAATCATCAACATCAAATGAATTTCTGCCATAAAAACTATCAATAATACCAAACTATAAACTTACTTGAGTTTCGCTCTCGATAACCAACCTAACTTTATCTTCCGTTAGGTTTTCCGAAGATTTTTGTTGTTCTTCTTCTTCCCCCTCATCCTCATAAACTTTAACTTCATCAGTACAGGCTAAATTATCAGAAGCGGTGGAGCTCAACATAGTTTTTTTTAATTCACAGCTTTATATATGACATAACTCCAAACTAATAAGAAATATGTAAATATTTGATATTCATGACGTATGGTTTTTGATCAGTTAATTAAAAACAACTTCATCAGTTCAATAGCTCCTAACGTCCCAACACGAGGGAGCAGTACTAATTGCGAGTAGAGCGGAATCTGCATAACCTTTTTCTAGGTTAGCAAAAACTTTGGTTCGTTTATTGATTCAAACAAAGACATGTTAGATGTTGGTAATGATAAGCTTAGAGCTGTAATTTTAGGAGTTAACAACCGAATTACAGGTGAATATCATTTCATAAGCTTGTATTTTTTCAGTAACTGACAACCTTCGATGTAGTAAATGACAAGCACTTTCCACGTTCCTTTTCAGGCTGTTCGAATAGTTATGAAATAAAGAAAAGAAGCTTTTGTTCAGCAATATTCTGTTGTAGTAGTAGTGGGTCAGCGATGCATCCTGGTGGGGACGTGATCACATTATTCAAAATAAATAAGCCTCAATAAGCCAATACTGAATTCTATTCCAAATCTTGAAAAAATTAAGTGCTTACTAACAGACGACTGATACAGACAAGTGTCGAGGAAGGATTTTACTTCATTTAAGACTTTCAGCAATTAACCACTAGCTAATCAAATCCAATAACCCGAATGAAATTGAGTCATATGGAGATCGGTATAGTTCGAGTGTAGATTAGTTTATTTGTCCAAGAGAATGAGGGGTAAACAAACAGTAAATGAATGAGTATGAGTTTGTGTGCCCTAATCTAAAAAGCAGTCAGGAAGTTTTTACACCTGGGTATATTTAAATGGCCTGAGAAATCACAGTCTTCATTTCCCGTCTGCCTGATAAATCCAGCTGCAGTCCAAGATCCAGACTATGCTTACCGTGAGTTTTAAAAGGGAGACGACATCTGCTTTTGTTTGCTCCTGGGTCAGCAAGTTTCTCTGGAGCTTCTGTTAATCCCCTTTACAGTTTAATGTAACTTGAATAAATAGTGACCGAAGCACTAAGATTTTCTGAGAAATCAGCATTAAATATTAGGATTAGTAAATATTTGATTATGTCACAAACATTCATTACTGGAGAAAGCTTTTGTCCGTGGTAACTTTGTTATCCGGGATCAAAGACTCAGTCAAACCACAATTTACGGATGAATTACTATGATGATATGGCTGAAAGATAGCCGGTTTTTGATGTGTGTGGCACGTCATACTAATTGGTAACCTGGTGTGGGTGAGCGAGCGAATGTCATAAGAAAATGCGCGTCCCCTTAAGGAATAAAGCCAGAGTCACAGTCAGGGATTTGCGTGATTTGTTTTCTGACACAAATCATAGGAAGCCTGGTTGAGACACCACGTGCGATGACGTCAGCCAGCTATAATAATTCTTACTGACTAAGGCGAAGAGCTCCTTGAATTTCTTTTATACCAAAATGAGTAAATCTGTGGGTTTGGTCAAGGATTACTTGGTTAGAGCGACTATATACTCCACCATGAAAATGTTTTGCAGGATAGACAGTGGGTCAAACCAGCTCATCTATCAGGCTTGACCGCCCCTAGGAATGTACTTGTCTTCTAAGTGCAATTCAGTAAGAAGACAACCTGGATGCAATGTAGGGTTTTCCATCATAGACAATTACGGTCTTGTGTGGTTTCGAAATAAATAACAGTCTCATACTGTTCTTATTCAGCTTCTGCAGATGCGTATGAACTGTTTTACTACTCCACATCATCAGTGTGTTTGATGCAGAAGAGTTTAATTTCATCCTCAGCTGGGATTAGCAATACCCTGCGTATCATCGAAATGGATAATGGTGACCAATGTCAACTGAAACCCCTTCCATTTTTTGCCTTGATGTCATTTTTCTGAATGACTTACAGTCCATGGAATTTCATACTAGGTGTCTTATCACCAAAAAATGATATCCACCCACTGCTTTAGGATAATTAGGTTTATGGTGTTGTAGCAGTGAGTCAGTTTAACAATTGACTCTGTCGGATAAATCATGACGAATATTCAAGTTGAATGGTTTAATGAAACAAAGAACACTAACTAAAGTTCACTACTAGTGACTGCGACAGAATGGAAAATTGAACAGGTCACAGTTACTTTCTAACCAATATTTAATGGCAGGAAGTATGAAAAAAGTATGAGGAATGTAGGAAGTAGAAACAACTATCACCCTAAAGTGTATAGTAATTTAAGGCTAGTTAATCGTTCCTTAATTTCTGTTTTTTGTTGTTTTGTTTTTTGGGCCTGACCCCAATGTTTCAGGTTACAGATACAGTTAATTTATGAGGTTTTGAGAGAAAAGTGAGATGATAGATTCGATCTGAAAAATTTGATAGATTTGCACTGTATGTTCCGAACAGTCTGGCTACGCACAAACTCATCAAGGCGTTTTAGATAAAAACTTCTAAAGTTTGGTCAAAGGAAATTTTAAATACGTATAAGGTGATCATTGCAAATGAAGCAAAGAGAAAAGTATAATGGTAAATATTGAAAATGAAGTTGTCGCATAACGCTAGATCATGGAATGGCTTGAAATTTAACAAGATAAATTCAAAGTTGCTACAAAATTTTGTACGCACAAAAGAGAGTTCATATTTAAGAAGAGTCAAGGCCTCTGTCAACCTATGAATTCCTTCAAACGTTTTAAAAATTGTATCGATTTCGATTCTACGACCCATTTGAATAGAGTGCTTAGCTATAGACGAGCTTTGTTTTCCGTTTCTCTCATTTATGGGGTAATTTGGTGTTAACTGGTTTTGAAGCTAAGTACTCTTGACTGAATCGTCTGATCAACCCTTCCTGTGTGGATAGGATTTGACATAATCACTGGCGGATTATCTAGACCTATGTGGAACCATAAGTTCGTTATTTTTAACTTCAGCCAGTTTAACAGAGTAATATGATTTCTGGATGTCTGCTTCTAGTCTGTCTTAAAATGGAACTGTAGAAGGATATAAGCAATTTTCTTTTCAGCGAGATTAACGACAGGCAATGTGTGCACTGCGTTATATACTTACTTACAAACGTCAGTGGATATGTTTGAAGTAAGTATTTCAGTTAAGAGTTTAGAGTCATATTCAAATATATTTGCAGTTCATACGCTTTCGATACCAATGAAGAGGCATTTTAACAAGCCTCGTCTGTGTTGCAGAGGGCGAAAGACTGAAATCTAAACGGCTGTTCAGTTCAGTCTCTCCTTCCATAAATTAACCACTTTATTGTTACGTCCAGTTTTTTGCCCGTTGATCCTACGAAGCACGGTTGTCGAACTATTTGTAATTCACGGTCCCAAATGTTTAAACCAAGAACGAAACTCCAAAGTAGATACCAAAGTTTATTCCAAATCACAAATTCGACCAAAATACTTTATTACAAATAGACGACCAATGTCGTTCTTCTAATTTATTAGCTCTTGGAGAAAAAATCTGCAAACGAACAACAAAGAGAAACGGGAGTCCAAAATGTCCGCAAATAATAATTCAAACAAGTTCACAAGTTAAGTAAAACAAATGTACCCAAAAACAGTGAAATTAATGATATTTATACATGAAGGTTTTCATCAGCAAAATTTCTTCGTTTCTCCCATAACATTATAATAGTAATAATTCGTTCTCAAATAACATGTTACACGATGCATACCAATTTACAATCAAGATTTTTATGTTGAAATTGCCAATACATTCTCTATAAGAGGTTGTTTCGTTGCATAAATATTTCAACAAATACATTTGCTTTTTATAAACGGAAAAATTGTGGATAATGTTTCAGACTCCACAATGTAAAACGCGATAATTGACGCGGGTTACGTTTGTTGCGTAGCGACAAACAACTGCTGGTTGAGAAGCAGTGAAAGGTAAATCTAGTTCTGCGGATAACAAGAATTAATGAGGTGAATCAGCGAAAATTTCCTAGCTGAGATTCGTCAAGTAATAAATTTACAGGCTCGTAAGTAAAGCAAACCAAGTCTTCGGTAATTATGAGGGTTAATATTTATCGAGTATGATGCCGTGCTGATAAAGATAAATTCAAGGAAATGGGCGACAAGCAGAACAGCAAACATTTTTGTTTAAAGCTGGATCACGACTCCGGAGATAATATTTTGCGATAATACAAAGGTATGATTAGTCAAACCTTTCAGAACACTAAGTGTACACCTGTACTTATGTAGGTTAATGAACACAAGTTACTAGTGAAATAACGAATGGGCAAGTGATCTTATGAATACAAGAAATTCAGGAAAACCAAATTGTTAGGAGCAATTTCGATTTACTGAATATAATAATGAGGGCAGAGTGATCTGATATTTTGATGATATTTCACTTTTACTTGTTAAGAAGTGAACACAGTGCAAGGTTACAAACATGAGTCGCAAACGTGTTTGAACATGTGAAAGTGACATATATATCATAGATTAATTATATTCTGCTATATCATAGCGAGCCGTAGGGAAACAAAATGTTTTGCTCCACAGACATGAGTAGTTAGATGTTATCGGCCCATCGTCGTGAATATTAGTAAGACGCACCACCCTCCCTACTCTATCACGCACAACTTATATATCTCCTCAACAGAGTTACCTCACTGATGGGCCTACTCGACGTAGTCTTGACATATAGGCGCATCAACTATGATAGGTCCCCAGGGATTACCCATCGCATTACAAACAATTTGTCGAAAATATTCACCTTCAGACGTGAACTGAACATTTTCAATACTTTGAAACTTGGTTATATAAATAGTGTTGATCAAAAAGGAGAAAGGTAAATTGCTAAACATACAGTTACAATAAAAATTAACAGTCTTGAGTGAAGGCACAATAATACACAAGGAGGTTATGTCAAAAAATCCATAGTCGTCTCTATAGCATTGATGCCACCAAGTAGAACAAATAGATCGAATGCAAAGAAGGTGGTGCACCTGGCTAGCAATCGCGACGGTATGGTGGCGCGAGTCGCGACTGACTATTAACACCACTACAGGCCAATTACGTTCCCTTCACTAAGCTTATTGTCTCCGCGGATCACAGACAGAAGAGAAGATTGTATCGGGAAAGGGGGTGTATTTGCTGGCGATTTCGTGGTGTTAAAGGAAGACCAAAATCGTGTCAGATGAAAAGAGGTGAAGTTAGTGTAGAATCCTTTTTGAATGTTT